TTTGAACATAGATGTACAAAAGATATGCATGTCGGAATCGGATGTTCTGGTACTTGTAAGTAGACACTAACTTTCAGTGTTATATTCCAGTATTATTGCATTTATCTATTTAGATGAACCTCCTATCAGCACAACTACTAGTACTACAAATATCGTTCAAACTTCAAGTAAGTTCTGCAGAAAGAAGAATGCAAGTTTTCAGCTCAAGGTTTAAGGCTCAGATTATTGTTTAAAGTCAAGAGGTATTGAAAAATATCTGATAGATAGAAGACGCCATCAGAATATTGTTTTTATTGATCGCTCGTTTCCGTCCTTTTCATGTGTTATTTTGTCCAAGCTGAGCCCACTGAAATCTGCTCATTTTATTTTTCTTGTACAGTTTTTGAAAGCAATTCTTCTGAAAATTCCTTTTATTCGCGTGTGCTGCTTGTTAAACTCATCAGTGCATGCCTAATAACAATGAATTATTAACTTTATTTTCTTTTGTCTAGCTGCTACTCCTACAACTGATGAACAAACAGTCACAGGTGTTTTAAATCGCCATAATTGGACTGATATTGGAGCAGTGATTGATGTTACTGGAAGTATGTCTGGTTGTTATGCTCAGATTAATCAATGGGTAGCTTTGAGTCACTCGAATAAACTCGTTCAATGTTTTGTCTTTTTCAATGATGGTGATGATACTCCAGATGCAGATAAAGTCATCGGATCTACAGGTAAGGTAGCTTTAAAATGCATAAACGATTTTTCTATCTGCTTATACATTTGAATTTAGGTGGACTCTATGGTGTATACACAAGAGAAGGAATGGCGAAAGTTTTGGAAACTTTAAATACAGCTAAGATGAATGGAAATGGTGGGGATAGTTCTGAAAATGACGTTGAAGCTATCATCTTTACAATCACTGGTTGTCCTACATGTGAAAATATTATCCATATTGCTGATAATGAAGCAACACCTAGAGATCTGATTCTTTTAGACAGAGTTACCAAGCCGGTCAAAGTGATTGTCTGTAAACTTTCCTCAAGTAGTCTTGTAAATCCAAAGTTGTTAGATATTGCCTACAAAACTGGTGGCTCTTTGCATACATTGGATTTGGATGTTGAAACATTAGGATCTGTGAAAGTTGGTGATACAATCAAAGTTGGTACAGGCACTTATCGGCTGGAAGCATCTGGATTTGTACGAATTGCTTAACGCTTTTAAAGTTATTTCTAACTACTATGTGTAAACTGTAAACGAATATGATTGTTATTATTGACAATAAAATTTATTTTCTCGATTCATGATTGAGCTTGACGTTTGAAGCTCAAAGTTCTGTATACAGGCACAGAATAAAAAATCAGCGTCTTTAACAAATGACAGACTTGTCTCTGTTGCTAAGACCATATTTAACGAATTAAGTTTTCTTCACATGTCGTGAGCAGCGATGGGTTACTCACAAACAGAGGGTTTCAAACTCAAGCACTAAGAACACAGAATCTATCATTGGAAAGATCGCAATCAATAGTATGTGAAATAAAGGCCTTTAGATTGTTGAAAAGTATTGAATGTATCAGACACGGAAACTCTTTCTTAGAAGGATTAACTCCAAATTTTACGTGAAAAATGATCGTGAAATACATCTCCGAATAAATATGAGTTAGTGCAAATAGAAATCTTCAATTATAGATATTAATAGGTAGAATATGAAGTACTCTTTCAACATGTGACTTCGTAAAAAAATATTAGATGTCTACGAGTCAAGAGAATGCGTTCACAAACCATTTGCATTTTTCATGAATTTCCGTAACCAAACTCGGTCATATTAGAAATTTTTGCAAGAAAAACGACATCTCCCGATATAAATCAACAAGCTCTATCAAACACTCTTATTTTAAGAGTAATTTTATCTAAATTTCGAATTCATTTTTTAGAACTACTGTGATATGAAACTTCATTAGTATCCGCAAATTTTGTTACTTATGAACTATTTAATGATTTCTATTGTTCTTGTTTATAAAAATAATAATATTTGGATTTGTTTGGAATTACTTTGGAACTACGAACAAGATACAGTATTTAGTGAATCCAAATTCCGACTTTGATTTTTTAATCTGATTGCTTTTCATGTTTTATACTTCTGTTCTGACACAAACCGTAATGTTCTGGCCAACAATGAAATTCTATGACGAACAGTGATTTTACTTTTAATTTCGATGAGATCATGCTTGTTAAGAAATGACCTAATATTCTGAAAGGGTGTTCAAAATCAAACAGCTTTTATGCAAAACATTTACTGGTATATCGTTTTGTTTTGTTGTGAAAACGTTAACTCTAAACACGTTTAAAAGAATTCGATTTTTTAAAATTATGTAACGTTCACGAGTTTCTGAACAACTCAATTGTTGCTAGAGAAAAAGAAAGATAATGTTACTAGTAGTAGAACTTAATGGTCTCTATCTCTGTTAAAAATTTCATAGTGCTTAGCTTTATTATGTGGAGGATATAGGTGATAGAATGAAGACAAGGTGAAGTTCTCCAATGTTTGATCACGTCACACAGGAAAGACAAGGTCGGTAGTTTTTCATCTTCTTTCTAGTTCCCATCTGATTTATATACATTCTTTGATGTCAACTTTTGTATAACAGAGACTGTAATATACTACTTTCATGTTTTCTGCAAGCTGGAGACTAGCTAATTTTAAACAAAAGAACTGCGCTATTGTGTCGAGTGGTACGTACCAGTATGTTTGGTGACGAAAGCTTTCTAAAAACACTTTATTAGAGGAGAATAAAGCGTTCTACTACTCTCCATATGGCATGTTTTAACAATTCAATCCTATGTGTTATCGCACACTCAATTCATGAAGAATCAGAACAACAAAAAAAGAAACTTTTTTTTGGCATATAAAACTTTCTCCATGACTCTAAGATACATTGCTACTAATTTACTTGTAAGATTAGCTCTTCCACAAGTTTTATCACTAATTGTAATTTACAAGCTATATAATTTTGCCAAAAATGCATCAAATTTTACATTCACTGCGTCGAATTCGTTTCAAATACTTAAAAGTACTGAAATTGTTGCTTAAAATCAGAAATTCTCTTCAAAAAGTTCTGCAAAGATGATTCATCGGTTTCTGACTATCAATTATGTTAACTGATAAAATACTGAAGCTATCAGAATAGATTCAAATCAGTAAGACAAAATATTTATTAAGTGGACACTTATTTTTTTTACACTATTTCAGCATAGTGTTGCCTACAATTAGCTAAATCTCATTAGGCATATTATATGTGCTACAATCATCGTTTAATGCTTAAACGCATGTATTCGGCTTTGGAAGGCCTAAAATTAAAAAAACAACCTCTAAGTATGAGAATTTCAAGGAAAAATCCTCTTTATGACCGAAACTTCTTTCGAGAAAGAGTGTAGGAGATTATGACAGTCTTTCGTTCAACCATATACTCGTCCACAACTTTATACAACCCGTATCTCCGCAGATCTATACACAGAAGCTATATATCAAATGTTAGAACCCTTATGTTTCTTTATTTTTATCGACAACTACGATCCTTTTTCTCATCAGACAACTGTTGTTACTACCCAAAGTAGAACTGCTAATATCATTCTTATTTATACGTCAAGCAACCAAAATCTGTACCTTCAAGAAGTCCTTCTAATCGTTCTATGATAATGTGAACTTATAAAATGTCTAAAGTAATATTAAATGTTCATTTAGAGAAAATAACACTGAAAAAAATGCACTTCGGAAAATTCTAACCTCGAAAAGTCTTTATTAGCTAATTATTATTTTTTTCGATTAGGCCATTGTCGAACTTACCGAAAAAATAAGTGTGTGAGTCTTCGCCTCTTTTCCTTGTATTCTCTTTCACAAAAACTTTCATATAAAAACAAATCATTTGATAATATTGTTTGACGTAAGAAGATTGATCACTTACTTCACACCGACTCACTTGCGTACAAAAGCATCAAGTGTGAATAATTTATGGTTTTGAATATCTAATTGTCAGATTCGATGTTACTCACCTTGGCATACCTGATAACTGCCGAACAATTAAAAAACAGTTAGAAATAAGTCATTTAAAAGCAAAAGACATTCCAACACTTCCACATGACTCGATTGACAATCTCATTCGTATTGTTCGTAGATTACATACTCATCAGAGGATTCATGATATTCATCCTAAATCATCTGCATACCTTTGAAAGCTTTGTTTGATACCGATACTATAGTAGTGAGAAAAACAGAAAACATTTAGATCTGAACTTAATTATGCATTGCGAATGTGAGGTGTTAGCTTTTTGTCTAGCAAAAGAAAATATAATTAAATTGAATAAAAGATGTGCACTCTAGAGGTACAGTTTGTTTTTGTATGGTACGAAAGTTGAGAATGAGGTACATATGGCAGTTCTAGTAGTACTAGTTCCTCATGATTAATTCTAGCATTCAGTGGAATTTTCTTAAGTAAACAAACTCAACAAGATGATCTGTGATTTGGTTCAAATATTGAATAACGTAAAACTGTCTTGAGAAATTCAACTGCTCTATCCACCATCTGAAATATATTGAAATGTTTAGTTCAATATATCAACGAACGATTATAGACGGTAATATTGAAGAAAGCTGGCAGGGTTTGAATAAGCAATAATGAGTAATATGCCTTCAAGAAGTAGCCGCCAAATATCCTCTCGTTCGATGTATTTCATTTAATCGATTACCGGAATATATCAATGAAAGGCTTAGCGTTCAAAGACGGTTCATACAATATCGAATAATATTTCTAGAGACATTTTTCATTTATTGGTATGAAGTTTTTATGTAATTGTTGTAGATGTTGGTAGTTTTATTTTTTGAAGTCGACATTAAGTTGAAAAAATAGTGCTGATGAGATAAAACTAATAGAATGACAAAATAAGTACACCGAAAGTTATTATCTTTGTTCTGTTCTGTCCCATTTTTCAAAGTTCGTCTTATATTTCAAAAGAAAAAAGATTGTTTGACAATATGCATGTAAAATAAAGCAAAAAAAGGCACCAAAAGTTGCAACAAATCAGAGCGAATGACATAGATCTTACTGTTTACGTTCTGATATTTGCTTGTATCACTCATGCACGATACTTGGTGACAATTAGATAATGAATAGAAGTATTCAATAATATATCTTACGTATTGAATTTTTAAAATCTGCCTAATGTCTCTAGACAACACTATTTATTTTAGAGTTATACTAACAATTATTGCAAAAATTATATATCAATGAAATGTGTCAGACCTAAAAGTTTGTTTCTTGGTTTGTCACTAAAAGTATCATATTTCGGCCGAAGAAAAACTCCGTTAGGTTTTTTTTCCTTTCTTACCATCTCTTGTCTTTTACAGAACTGTAATAATGTTACCTGAGAAACAATCAGTTACAAACACACAACATTCGTCGATTATCGCGAGCACATTTTAACTTTTCAAAAGTTACATAAAACTCATATAAATATGTCACAAGGTAAAATTATCAATCGTTTTATTGATGCCGATAAAGAACCTACTAAAACACTAACACCTATCGAAGGCTACGAGAAAAAAGATTTAGTATCAGTAGAAAATGCAATGGTTGAAATAGAACCACCTATACATAATCTTAAAACAATGGTATGGACAGCAAAACGAAACTCTCGTAATCCATTAGATGGTCTTACTTCTGATGAATCAGCTTCAATTCATCTGTACACGTTGGAATGGCCTGAGGCTCATCAAAGTGTTTATACTTTGTTAAATGAAAAACTTCGATCTGAAAAACGGAGTGAACTTCAATCATGGTATTCATATTTGAAACTTTTTCTCACAGCATTGTATAAATTACCATCATTGAAAAAAACAATTTGGCGAGGAATTCATGGTAATGTAATGGATCTTTATCAAGAAGATTTTATATGGTGGGGTATTAGTTCTTGTACAGAAACAATGAAAGTCATGGAAAAATTTGTTGGTCGTTCAGGTATTCGTACATTATTTATGATTGAATGTATTAATGGAAAAGCAATTAAATCTCATTCATTTTACAAAGATGAAAATGAAATTTTATTGATGCCAGGAACTTATTTACGTGTAATCGACAAATGGAGTCCCGCTAATGATTTGTACATCATTCATTTACAAGAAGAAACTCCACCTTGTCAGCTTGTAGCACCACCTTTTAATC